GCAACGTTGACGCTCTCTGGACACGCTCCGCAAGTTTTGACAGCGTGTTTTATTCATTACTTCAATTTCCCCTCCCCCCCTTTTTTTTACAGTATAGTTATTTACACTATATTTTGTTGGTAAAAATTTTTATTTCAATTTCACTGGAACGAAAGAAAGAGAAAAAAAAATATCTAAAAATGCAAATAATAAATTAAAAACAAAAAAATTTACTTGATTCAAATATAATCGGTTAATTGCTAATTATTAAATAAATATTTATTTGAATCAAATAAATTTAATTTGTAAATTTTTAATTTGTATGAAATAATTTTTACTTGGTATCTAAATTTTTATTTCTCTCGAAATAATTTTTATTTGAATCAAATAATTTATTTATTAATTATTATTATTATTATTATTATTATTATTATTATTATTATTATTATTATTATTATTTATTATTTATTAATAAAATTTTGTTTATTAATTTTCTATATAAAAATTTTTTTTTTTTTTATACTGTCATGTGATATGAAAAAATTTTTTATACGTAAAATCTGTACTACAAATCAAATCTCAGCAAATATTGTGGAAACGGAAAAAAAAATGGCAAAATGCCATTGGTCTTTATGAATGTGTGTACCTTTTACTCCCATAAACTGGTTTTTCGCAGAGATTTTCTACTAATTAATAGAAATGTCGTTTACGCGGAACTAGTTTCTTTTTCGAACGGAAAATAAAAGTCGTTTTTTGTTTTTTTTTTTATTTATAGACAAACGCGTCACATAAAAATGTTGTATTCTCTTTTAAAAAGTTGTTTTATAAATTATTTTTATTTTGATAAAATTTTTTTTCATTAATTCATCATTTGTCATTTTCAATTTTTGTTTCCTTAGCCCATATAAGTACGAATTGTTTCTATATATATTAAAAACAAACTATTTTTTATTTAAAAATATTTTTTTTATAATTTAAAATATTTATTTTTATATCTATATATTTTTTATTATTTTCAAAATATTCGTTTTCAAGTATTTTTTTATATTGAAAATATTAATTTTCAACTACTTTTTTATATTTTCAAATATTCCAACTATTTTGTATACTGAAAATATTAATTTTTAACTATCTACTTTTTATATTTTCAAATATTTATTTTCCAACTATTTTGTATACTGAAAATATTAATTTTTAACTATTTTTTATATTCTAAAATATATATTTTTAACTATTTTCTGTATTGAAAATATTCATAGTCGAAAATATTAATGTTCAACTATTTTTTATAATCTGAAATTTTTATTTTTAACTTTTTTTTTATATTGAAAATATTAATTTTCAACTACTTTTTATATTTTAAAATATTCCAACTATTTTGTATATTGAAAATATTAATTTTTAACTATTTTTTATATTCTAAAATATATATTTTTAACTATTTTCTGTATTGAAAATATTCATAGTCGAAAATATTAATGTTCAACTATTTTTTATAATCTGAAATTTTTATTTTTAACTTTTTTTTTATATTGAAAATATTAATTTTCAACTACTTTTTATATTTTAAAATATTCCAACTATTTTGTATATTGAAAATATTAATTTTTAACTATTTTTTATATTCTAAAATATATATTTTTAACTATTTTCTGTATTGAAAATATTAATAATCGAAATTATTAATTTTCAACTATTTTTTAAAATCTGAAAATTTTTTTTTTTACCTTTTTTTATATTGAAAATATTAATTTTTAACAATTTTCGATATTCTGAAATATCTGATTTGTAAATATTAATAGTTGAAAGTATTAATTTCAATTATTTTTTATTTTTCAAATAATGAAATTGAAGAAATTTATTTATTTTTCCAAAGCAATAAAAAAAAAAAAGTTTTACCCATTTGTTACTGATTGGAAATTTTTTTTTTTCATAGTAATAGAAAAATGAATATTTGAATCGTAAATATAAAAAATTACAATAAAAATAACGAGAGTAGATCAGAAATATAAATGGTATAAACTCGAGTAACGATTTATGAAATGGAAATCAATTTTCTATTCATAGGTAAAAGCCGTTCCGACCGAATCATCCGCAATCATTATTTATATACAATATCCAAAACAAGGAAAGTAATACTCGTTAAAATTGTCTTCCGTAAAATTAAATCCTGACTTTATAATTATATAATGATTCGCAATTGGGAGGGAAAAAAAAATGATTCTCTCTCTCTCTCTCTCTCTACCTTTGGCAAAATGCTAATTTTTCTTGAAATACAAGTTTCACTTCTTTTCGAATATAGAAAGCATTTTTTATTTTCCTTGAAAATTCCACATTTATTTTTAATCCGATTAATTATTATTGTTACGAGGCAAAAATTTTTATTAATTTTTTAATTTTTTATACAAAAATTTTTAATAATAATTTCGGACGTTACAATAATTTAACAGCTGGGAAAAAATTTAATTATTTATATTTAATTATATTTATTTTATAGAAAGGCACGTGCATCCAATGGTATAATATTAAAAATAATTTCATCAGGAAAATCTGGATTAATTATATATTTATTTTATTATTTATTTATTATATTTATTTTATTTATTTTTATTTATATTTAACTAGAATTAACTGTTTTTTTGGAAAAAGAGGTTTTTTTTTAAATTGAGAAAAAAAATTTATTACTTTGATATCTACGAGAGGGACTATTTAAGGAAGTCATATGAGAATGCGTGCACATAAATGGATAAAAGAGAGCGCTCTCTTTGATACTAAATGAGAGAGAAAGAGAGAGAGAGAGATTGGCAAATATAATATGTTGCAATGTCAGTTTGCAACGAACTAGTTTTCTTCAGCATCGGCACGCGCTTCTCATTTTATGTTCTTTTAATAAAGAATAACATCCTTTTATGACAATGACCCCTTATTACAAACATATATATATATAAACTGCAATATAATGTTTAAATTATGTGACATTTCAAGTTCAACAGATATAAATTTCATCGGACATAATTGGTATTTACGGAAGAAAGATATTTTCTCTTTTTTTTTTATTAATTCAAAAACAACTAATGGACCAAAAAAATTATTATTTTACAGATTTATTAAATTTTTAATTTATTATTAAAATATATTCATTATTATTTATTTATTTATTTATTTAATCACTCCGTAATAATTACGGACCCAGGTATTTATATAATTTTTTTAATAATTATTATATTATAATTATTATATTATAATTATTATATTATAATTATTATATTATAATTATTATATTATAATTATTATATTATAATTATTATTTTATAATTATTATTTTATAATTATTATATTTTATAATTATTCTATTAGAATTATTTTATTACAATAATTACTAAATTATAATTATTTTATTATAATTATTATATTACAATTATTATATTATAGGGGCCGTCCATAAACTACGTTACCTATTTTAGGGGCGGGAGGGGGTCAAAAATTCTAAAAAAAATGCATTTAACGCAATGGTAACGAGGGGGGGGGGTCTAAAAAGAATGAATAAGTGGTAACGTAGTTTATGGACGGCCCCATACTTATTATAATACTAAAATAAAATGGAGAAAAAAAAATAAATAAAAATAATAATTAAAAAATAAATATATAATTATTATATATTATAAATAATTATTACTAAAAAAAATAATAATTGCGTTAAAAAAAAATTTTATTTCTTTAAATTGACGTTTTTGACTGAATTTTTCTTAATAAAATCCAATTGTATTTTACACACACACACATACATATATACAATGAAATGGGTGCAGCATCCTATGCGCCGGCAAGGACCATTTTACATATACGGGATTTAAGTAATTATGTCAGTGACATTTGAATCGTTAATAGAGGTCAAATAAGGGGTCATTAAATTTATATAAATCAAAGAGATTAAGATAAAAAAAAAAAAAGACATTGTTAAAAGAGTGTAAAAGTTATAATGTAAAAGCATAGCGAGAGAGCGTGACTTGTGAATAAAATGGGCGGTCACACACTCGCCCCAAAACTATTTAAGGCTTTTATTTATATTTATGTTGTCATAGAAAAAAATTTGCACTTGCTGATTTAATAATCGTGAAAATGGTAGTGTGTCACATATATTTTATAACAAATACCCATTCAATTTCATATGTCCACATATTTTCACAATTTTTTTTCTCCTTTTAAAAAATAATTGTTTTATTTATTTTAAAAATTTTTGTTCTCTTTTCGCTCAGTAATTTTTTTTTCATTTTTAATTAATGTTAATATTGGAGTTAATTTAATTAATATTAATAATTAATATTAATGAATATTAATAATTAATAAATAATAATGAATATTAATGAATATTAATAATTAATAAATATTAATAAATATGATAAATAATATATTATATAATAAATATTAAATGTTATATTAATATTAACTAATATTTAGTTTTTTTAAAAGGACCTTTATTTTCGAATATTAATTAATATTAATAAACATAATTAATATGTTATATTATTATATTTATTATAATTTAATACTTTTAGTACGAGAGGGCCTTTTTATTTTTTAAGCCCGTTTAATTGTTAATTAATTATTATTATTATTTATTAAAATTTATTTTCAATTAATACTCATTTTTCTATTCTACATAATTATAATAAATAATATTAATGTTAAATTTACTTTGTAATACTAAAATTAAAATATTTATTCCTAATAATTATTAGGTATTTTATTTCTAAAAATTATTATATTATTATTCCTAATAATTGTTATATTAATAATAATAATAATAATAATTTAATATTAAAAATAAATTAAATATTATTAAATTTATTATTCCTTTTTTATCGCTTTCTTTATTTCGAATTTAATTTCCAGTTGTCTCTTAATTTAATAATAATAAAATTATTCCCATTGTTGTTAGTAAAATATATAATTCCTTATTGTTATTTTTTTATTGAAAATTATTGTTTCTAACTATCTATGTCAATTAAAAAATTACATACCATTCAAGGGTTTATTTCTAAATTTCCATGTCACGGACATTCACAAAAATATTTTCACAAAAAAAAAATTGTTTTTCATCACATCTCGATTAAATCCATTCAAATTGGGATAATTCTTTTTATTGTCAAATACATTCACAAATATAAACACGCACAAAAAAGAAAATACCAAAATCACATTTTTTTTTCCTTCTTTTCTATAAAAAAAAAGTTTTTTTGTTTTTTAAACAATATAATAAATTTTTTTTATTCGCAATTTTTTCTTGGCGAATTTAGAGAAAAATGAATATTAAATTTTTTTTTTTTTGGAAAAAGTATCACGTGTCAAAATTAAAGTAAAAAATGGGGACATTTAGGGGGGGTTTAGAGGGGGGAGAGAGAGAGAGAGAGAGGGGGATTCACGTGCTTTCAGTACAACGCGCGGTGTTGAACTGAAACTCTGTCGGTAGACAGACTTTCTTCCGTGCCATGAATCGCCTCTTTCACCTCTCTTTGATTACGAACACCGTTTCGCCCTCCTCTGGACCCCCCTCTATCACCCAGTGGGGAACGGTTCCATATAGTATCAGAAAACTGGCCCCTTGAATAAATATATATACATGGCCCCCTTGCATCAGACCCCGTTTAGATTTGCTTTAGAATCCTTATATATATAGAGAGAGAGAGAGAGATATATATATATTTTATATATGTGACTGTGTGATGCTGCTTCTCTTGTTTGTGAATCTGTGTATATCTAAAATCATTCGATATGCAGATCCTCAGGCTCGACGCGTCCCATATTATCCGCTAACTTTCCCATATAGCGATTATCGTCGTTGAAACAAGAATTTCTCAGACTTATTTTATATGGGAGCAAAAAAGAAAAATACTTGATAATTTTGTGATGATAGACGTGGGAATGTAGAAAATATTTTTTGGAAATTTTTGAAAAAGAATTTGTTGGGAAAAAAAGGAAAGAAATTGTTTACAATGTTTATATATATTTTTTTTAGTATTAGCATAATAAATAATAATAGACTTGTTTTTGAAAATTAGTAGAAAAAGGCAATTTTAGTCAGACAATTTACTAATTATTAAAAATTAGTAGTAAAAGGCATTAATAGTCAGACAATTCACTAATTATTAATAATTAGTAGTAAACGACAGTTTTAATCTGACATTTAATTGATTTTTTTAAAAAACAAGTAGAAAAAGACAGTTTAAGTCCGACATACTCGTTTTGAATTCGATTAATTTTGAAAATTAGTAGCGAAGGTCAGTTTTAGTCAAAAAATTAATTTACTTCAAAAAATTAGTAACAAAGGATACTTATAGTCAAACAATTCATTGATTTTTTTAAAATTAGTAAAAAAAGACAGTTTTAGTCAGACAAACTTGTTTTGAATTCGCTTAATTTTTGAAAATTAGTAGAAAAAGAGCATTTTAGTCAGACGATTCAATTTCAATTTATTTGTTTTTCAAAATCAGTAGAAAAAGTGAATTTTAGTCAGCCGAATTTATTTGAATTATCTTATTTTTAAAATTTAGTAGAAAATACAATTTTATTCAAAAAAGTCATTTTAAATTTATTTGCTTTTCAAAATTAGTAGTAAAAGTATAGTTTCAGTCCGACAATTTACTAATTATTAAAAATTAGTAGTAAAGGCAGTAATATTCAGACAAACTGATCTTCAATTCGCTTAATTTTGAAAATTAGTAGTAAAAAGCAGTAATAGTCAGACAATTTTTTAATTATTAAAAATTAGTAGTAAAGGCAGTAATAGTCAGACAATTCACTAATTATTGAAAATTAGTAGTAAAAGACGGTTTTAGTCAGATAAACTGATATTCAATTCGCTGAATTTTGAAAATTAGTAGAAAAAGGTATTTTCAGTCAGACAATTGACTAATTATTAAAAATTAGTAGTAAAAGGCATTAATAGTTAGACAATTCACTAATTATTGAAAATTAGTAGTAAAAGGCATTAATACTCAGACAATTCACTAATTACTAAAAATTAGTAGTAAAGGCAGTAATAGTCAAACAATTCACTAATTATTGAAAATTAGTAGTAAAAGACGGTATTAGTCCACCAAATATATATATACCAAATCATTTTGAATTCGACTAGTTTTGAAAATTATTAGAAAAAGACCCGTTTTAGTCAGACAATTTATTTTCAATTAATTGATTTTTTTAAATTAGTAGAAAAAGACATTTTTAGCTAGACAAATAATTTTAAATATATTTGCTTTTCAAAATTAGTAGAAAAAGTCAGTATTAGTCAGACGAATTTGTTTGAATTTGCTTAATTTTGAAAATAAGTAGTAAATGACAGTATTAGTCAGACAAAATCGTTTTTAATTCGCCTAGTTTTGAAAATTATTAGAAAAAGACCCGTTTTAATCAGACAATTTATTTTGAATTAATTGATTTTTCAAAATTAGTAAAAAAAATTCATTTTTAACCAGACAAATAATTTTAAATTTATCTGATTTTTAAAATTAGTAGAAAAAGTCAGTATTAGTCAGACCAATTTATTTGAATTTTGTTCAATTTTAAAAATAAGTAGAAAAAGACAATATTAGTCAGACGACTTATTTTCAATTCATTTAGTTTTCAAAATTGCTATAATTTAATAATTAATTTAATTACAACAATTTAATAATTATAATTTATTTTAAAAAAATATATTGCATTTTTAATTTTCGCAAAACTATCTTTAACAATATTAAAATAGAATTACATTTCTAATTTTCATTTCTAATTTTTCTTTATAATATCTCTCTCTCTTTCTCTCTCAATTTCTATATGTATGCGCTTTCAGTTCATTCGAACCAATTTAACTTGGATGCCACAGAGAAAGCAAAATATTATTATTGATGCTCATATTAAAGTCAGTGAGATGAAAATAAGTAATTATTATTATTATTATTTTGAAAATAAAAATACCTATAAGAAATATTGAAGATTTTGTAGAAAATTTACATATTCAGTTTTTGATCGTTATCTATAAATAAAATCTATCGTCATTGTTGTTGTCGTCGTGCGGGCAAAACTATGCAAAATTTATCGCGTGAGAAATGTGTGATCACAGAAATGGAGATTCTATGGCAAAAGAGAGAAAGGTCGATTTATATTGTCAATGACTTACAATTTGATTTTTCAAAAAAAACCTAATGGGACTTAAAAATTTATTTAAATTAAATTTTGTTTTCTCTTTTCTATAGAAAAAAAAAAATGTTTAGGCAAAACTATAATTATATTTTTCTAAACTATCTAAAAATACAAATAAATTAATTATAAATAAATATTTATTTTTAACAAATAATAATTATTTGACACAACTAATAATTATCACAGAAAATTAAAAGGCATTAAAATAAGCTGCAACGCTTATTATTTTAATCCAATTTTGCTTATTTTAATCCATTTTGGTATTAAAATAAGCAAAATTGGATTAAAATAATAAGCGTTGCAGCTTATTTTAATACCTTATAATTTTCTGTGATTTGATATAAATAAATATTTATTTTGATAATAGTCAATTATTTAATTCAAATAAATTTTTTTCAGTGTACCGAAGAAATTTTTGTACAAATATTTTTTTTTATAGATCCTCCAATCTAAAGTCGATCAAAGTGGAGAAAAATTTTCCAAATTATTTTCTATCTTTTTTAAAAAATATAATTAATTTTCGGTAATTTTTTTTTTTAGTGTTTTTTAAACGATTTATATGCGAATTTATACAATGTAACAATAAATGCAAATTTATTTTGCAAAAAGTAGTTAAGAAAATGCCTGTAAGTAAATATAACAGTTGTAAAAGTCTAGTTTATGGACTTTCATAAATATTTTGTATATATATACACATATAGAAAATATCTACTGATTGGCCTTTCAACGGTGTGAAGGACAGGAAAGAATTTCTTGCATTTGAAAAGAGGATGTATATAACTACATATAGTGAAAGGGAATAGTCAAGCAGTTTGTTAAAATCAAATTATTCTACTTTATCTAATATCTACATATATGTATAATTAAAAAAAAAATAAAAAAAATCTAAAAAAAACAGAAAATTAAAACTGAAAAAAATTAAAGTTTTAAATATTTACAATAATTTTTATAGATATAATTCTTAAATACAGTTATTATACTAATCGATAATTAAATTTTTTTTTTCTTGTCATGTAAAATTTTATCTTATTGACGGTAATACATATATGGAGTATGTTTAGAAAATGCAATTAGAGAAAAGAAAATATATTACCACTCGATTAATTAGACTATGTATATTATGCAATTATATATATACATATATGTATTTTAAATATTTGCCTCGCGATATCATATATGGAAAAAAATTTAATTAACACTATTAGTATAGATATTGTATAGGAAGTAAATGTCAAAATTGGAAAAATAAATTTATTAACGGCAATTATTATTTTTTTTTTATTTTTGTTTGAAATATAACTGGGTATAAGATGAATTCTAATAAAATTGATAAATTAGTTTAACAATTTTATTTTTGTTTTTTTTTTTAATGAAAATTCTATTTTTTTAAGAATTTAAATAAGTAAAAAAATAAATATCAATATAATTTAAATAATAAATAAATATAATAATATAATTATATAAAAATAATTATTGCCTTGTCTGAATAAAAATGTCTTTTTTTACTAATTTTCAAAACTAAGCGAATTCAAAATGATTTTGTCTGACTGATAATGCCTCTTACTACTAATTTTTAATAATTAGTAAATTGTCTGACTAAAAATGTCTTTTTTTGCTAATTTTCAAAATTAAGCAAATTGAATACCAGTTTGCCTGACTAAAACCGTTTTTTGTTACTAATTTTGGAAAATAAATCGATTGTCTAACAAACATTGATTTTTTTTTACTATTTTTGGTAGGAAATTCATTTAAAATTATTTGTCTTAACAAAATCGGATTTTTCTACTAATTTTCAAAATTAATCGAATACAAAACGATTTTGTCTGACTGACACTGCTTTTTACTACTAATTTTTAATAATTAGTAAATTGTATGACTAAAAATGCCGTTAAATTTAAAAAAAATTAATTTATTAACGGCAATTATTATTTTTTTTTATTTTTGTTTGAAATATAACTGGATATATGCAAGATGAATTCTAATAAAATTGATAAATTATTTTAACAATTTTATTTTTGTTTTTTTTT